AAGTTATGATATTTGGAAAAAAAAAATTTTTCTGATTTTTGGAAAAAATTGTCCAGCCTCCCATTCAGGCAAGGAAGAGCCACATGGTGAGAGATCTGATCAGGGCCCAGAAGGAGGGGCCACCACAGCCTCAGGTCTTCTTTTATTTCTTCAATTTTTTTTATTGCATTTCACAAAAAGATATATAACAGAAACTGAAAAAAGAACTAACTAGCATTCCATAATCACAGGTGAATAAGATCACGTGTCTGTAACCATGACTCTCGCGAGATCATGTTTTGAAGTGATTGGTCATCAATTATCCTGATGAAGGCGACAGTGGCTGTTGAAGATTTGATCTACATGTGTAATAATGTGTTGGAATAGAGTTCAACATTTTTCTACTAACAACACAGATTCAGATTCAGACTTTAATTTTTATTTTCAGTGACATAGCAGGTACACAAATAGCTCAATATTACTGGTACCTAAAATGCGTGTGTTGAAAATTCACATCCTCACAGTCAAAATAATCTCAAACGAACTGAACGAACATTCAGATGAATTTTCTTGATAACCACAGGTTGCGATGGCACCAAAAGCTCCCCCTCCACAGCCGGCCTCCCAGCCTCAAACAGTCAACAGTCAGAGGACAACTCCCACAGGTGGGCTTTTTTTTAATTATTCTTATTTATTTATTCCTGTTTATTAAAATTGCAACGGCAAAACAAAGGAAACTAAGGGTGCGCCGCTCATGTTGGGTGCCTTCTGACATAGTTGGACACTGTCAGGTGTAAATAACTCCTTTCTGGTACTTTGTCGTCTTCTCCAAACAACTAATGTCGATGACCAGATGTCTGTCACCATGGTAACTGGTGCTGTAGCAGACACCCTGTGGTGTTGGGTTACATTATCTAGCAAGTTGCAGGACAGTTGGAGGGGCTGGTAGCTGTGCATATGAATGTTTCTTATAATTTGCAAAGGCATGGATTCTTTCTATTCTGTACCTGTGGTTTGCTGTCTTTAAGGTTGGCTTGGAATGCTTTACAATGCATGATTGTTCACATCCCCACCTACAGGTGTCCCCAACCCTCCCCACAGTATCCCCACCCTGGTGCACCACCCCCCACCCCCTCCCCGTACCACCAACACCAGGCCAAGCCCAACCACTTCCCACAACAGCAGTCTTACCTCACACCATCTCTATCGCCAACAAACACAAGGTGCAGTCAGTAGTCTTTGTACTTAGAAAATTTGAGTATCTTTCTTTTCTTTATTCAACGTAAAAAATCTTGCTTAAAAAAAAAAAGACCTGCACTTGGTGCAAGCACGTCTAACCCCCGGTTTGGGGAAAAATGACGTAAAAATTGGAATAATAATTAAACTTGAGACGGCAATACACGTTGAGCACTAAGCAGCAAATTCAGCTAATGCCGTGCTCCACACATTACGCTACAAAAGAAATAGCTGGAGTGTTACGCCAAAGGGCTGTTATACCGGCTCTACAGATACAATACAGATAAATCAGAGCTTCATGTACGTTATGCCCGTGTGTCTGTTCTTCCAGCCCCTCCTACAAGGCAGAAAACTCCAGAGAAAGCCCGGGTACCATCGCAAGACACATCAAACAACGTAAACACGGTGATCGACCTCACTGAAGATACAGAGGAAACCAGTGGCTCGCAGGTTAGTACATACTGTTTACCTTTGCAGAAGGACAACATCTTGTTATTGCACTGTTTCTTCTTCTTCTCCATACAAATAAGGTCAATGACCTGGACCAGACGGCTGTCACCATAGTAACTGTCATCATGTAAGTAATTGGTGCTGTAGCAGACACCTCTGTGGTGTTGAAACACATTATGTAGCAAGTTGCTGGGCAGAGTTGGAGGGCCTATTCACCGTATATATATTAAATGTATTTGAATGTGTTCAAGTAAGAATGAACAACAGGTGAAGGTTAGACATCCAGGTAGTAAGATACGCCAAAAACAGTTACTCGAGCAACTGGATATGATATGATTTTGGAATGTCAAAATCATATCCAGTTGCTTGAGTAACTGTTTTTGGTGAAACAGTTTCAGTTTATTTATTTCACCAGCCACTACACACAGGTTAAATAGAGCAGTAGTTTGTTAGGCTAGTTGTTTTCTTACTACGTGGAGGTTAGTAAAATGCATCTGCTAAGCAACTGTTGCCCTAAAAAAGTTCCTATTTTGTATGTTAATATGATTGCTGTTGTTTGGATGTAGGCGTCAGGAAGGAAACCGTCGGGTGCGGGCCCCCCTCCCCTCCTGAAGGCCGTGGTGGAACCCTCACCTGCCCCCAACACCATCGCGCCCTCCGCCCAGGCGCGCCCCACATCACAAGTCCGACCTTTCAACAACGCCCAGCAGCCTGTACCCACAGCTGTCAGTGCCAACAGCAGCAGGAACATATCTGAGGTATTGTTTGTTTGTTTTGCATAACTGGTATATACATGTAAACCGCCTTCAGGCATAACACATCAGTTTTGCACATGTGAGTACAAGCTGCGTAAGACCAGACTTTAAGGTTTCAACCACTCACACCGGGAAGGTCCCCTACTCTTTTCGATAAGTGTGGTGGGTTCTTTAACGTGCGTGGGGTGTGGCTCTCCCCAAACACGGGACGGTCGGGACCTCCATTTAATGTCCTATCCGAGGGACATCCCTAACCGAAGCTAGGTACAGTAACTCATTTACACCTGAGTGAATTGAGGAGCTGCATGGTCACCATATATATGAATGTGTTTTAGTAAGAATAAACAAAGCTTGTTAAGCTGGGCCATGTGAAAGTAAACATAATGCAAATTTGCTTTGATTTTACTTAGGTTGTGCAGGCGATTGTGAACAGCACACGGACGATACAGGCGCCGCCAAACTTCCGCACCGTCACCACCTCTGTGCAACAGGTGGGCCAGAACCCCCTTCACGCCCTCCCGCCCACTGCGCCTACATACCAGAGACCTCCTCTACAGGTGAAAAACACACCCTCATTTTATAGCAAAACGTTGAACTTGATTCAAACACACAATTACACACTCAGGGTTTAATGACCAATCACTTTACAATGTGATCTCGAGAGAGTTACGATTACAAACACGTGACCTTATTCAGACAAGACTTTACTGATAAGTGACCTGAGCAATTGATCAAAAGTGCCAGGGAGTTTATATCATCCACCATCTGTATTAAGTGACGGCTGAAGTGCTCTGATATAAAATGGCCTTCTTAATGCGTGTTAACACCTTCTGGTATATATTGTACTGTATAATTTATTCCATTCATTGCAGCATTTTCATTTTCCATGAGATTCTAATTTGCATGATATTTGTTTTGTATTACGTCAGCTGTACTTTTGTGTGGGTCAGCTGTTACTAGTTGAGTCTGCCAGTGCTGACGCAAGTAATGACAAGTATCATTGCCATTATTATATACTGTATTTGCAATAAAACATTCAATTATAATTACAAATCCATATTCCAGGTGCCGACCCAGGTGCTAACCCAGGTACCGACCCAGGTTGTGAGCTCCGTGGGTTATGTGGGAGGCCAGCCTGTGGTGCCCCAGATGCAGCAGACCACCGGGACGTTCAGGCCGCCTGTCGTCACAACCTCTACATATGTCGTACAGGTGAGATCTTTATTCTCTTTATTTCGATACCCTTTAGCCAAAAGGCTAATCTTCCAGGGTTCATTTGAGAAAAACATACACTATATACAAATGAAGGTTCATAATCTGAAAACTACTCACGGGGGTCTTACTGTTTGAACATTTGGTGGATAGCTTTCTTAAAGACTGAACTAGATCATCAGTGAATAGTTTCATCTGGTTGGTAAGTCACTGAGTAAAGAGACTGACTTTCTTTTTACACAACCAAGTCTTTTATTCACAGCCGGCATTTCAGTGCAATTCTGACTGGTTCACATTGCACTGCAGCACAGGTGTCGCTGCTATAGATGCATTCCCACTCTGGTGCTGGGGATTTCTTTTTGGATCCTTTTTTCGAGTCCTTTGAATTGTGTATAATTAAAGAAGTAAAAGTTCTTGCCTTTCTGGCAAGGGCATGTTAAACATCGCAAAAGCAGGGGCATTATGCAGTAACCCTCTACAAAAGGCAAATCACCTTGTACCTGCATGTAAACTAAGTTTGTACCAAGTAATATTACAGCTGTACAAGGCTGTAGTGTTACACTGACTGTAAATTCTACAATCCAGGTTTCCTTGTAGCAAAGTCTCCTGCTATTGGCTACGATATTGTCTCTCTGTAGCTAGCCCAGGTAAACAAGATTTGTAGCAATCAGTATTAGACCTATAACTTGTAACACTGTGTAACACTGACTGTATATCCTACAAGGGCTCCTTGTAGCATAGTCTCCTTGCACATGCTACAATTTTGTCTTTCTGTAGCCATCCCATGTAACTAGATTTGTAGCAAATAGTTTCAGCCCTGTACAAACCTACATGTATGGTGTAACATTGACTGTAATTAGGGTTCTTTGTAGTGTAGTCTCCTGCTATTGGCTACAATTTTGTCTTCCTGTAGCCATCCCATGTTGTGGAAAGCGTCTTGAGTCCTCCTGTTATGTGCATGCCACCATCGCAGCCAGGGAACCCTCTGTACAGCCAGTATACTCAGGTGCCTGCCTTGGAATACCTGCTTGCCTTCGCTGCTGCTGCTTGCTTGTTGCCTCTCCTTTGCTTGTTGTCTACGCTTGCTTTGCTTGATGGTCTGCTTTTGGGTGTGGTGATTTTCACACAATTTTCATAAGGCCACACCAATTTAATTTCTTGGTTAACGGATTTTTCTAGAAAAATAATGGAGCGGGCGGGCGAAAAAAATAAAAAATAAAAACAGGTCTAGGCATCCTATTATGGCCCAAAATGGTACGATAGGAGCCATGAAGTCAACACACCAGACTGGTTCAAAATTTAAACAATGAATTTTGAACTTTTAATGATACCACTGCATCGAAAGACGGAATAACTGTAACAACTCGGATGAAAAGGACTGTTTTCAACTGTTCAGGGCAAAATATAAGCATTTTGCAGTTGATTCTGGATTTTTATTTTTATTTGCAAATCAGAAAAAAATGAAGCGGGCGAATCCGTTAACCAAGAAATTAAATTGGTGTGGCCTAACCAATCACAAATTAAATGTTTAATGTTAAATTTTCAACACTGATTGAGATAATTACGTTAAGTCTTGAATTATGTTCTTGATTTTTGGCATACAAATTATGAATATATAATTATAAAAGGCCCAATAATGCCTTTAAAAAAGAGCATACAGGGCCCCTTACTGATAAAGTCAAAATAAGATGAATTTCCATGTTGCTTGCAATTGCTTGCTTTTTCTTGTCAATACCAAAAAAAATGGGTGATTGTTTGTCCCTCCACATGTAAGTAAGTTGTGAATATCATGGCTCCTGCTGCTGGCTTTACTTGCTTGTTGCTTTCCTTTGCTTTAAGGTGCTCAAGTCCAAATAAGAGTCATTTCTGCCATTTTGCACGCTTGTTTTCCCTTCGATACCAAAGAAATGGGTGTAAGTTTGCCCCTCGTCAACATGTACTGTACATTTTGTAAATGTCATGAGTCTGATCTGTATCCAGAACTGTGCCAAATCTCCGTTCTTGGATTTGCAGAGAGTTCTGGATATGATCGAGACCCTAACCCTAACGCTAAAAGGCTAACCCATTCAGGCATACATGTAGAGCTACATGTAGATCAGGGGTGCCAAAGACTTCATACAAATTTATTATTAAAATTAATTTATGGAATTCATACAAATTGACCAACTTAAAGGGTCACCAACTTGATAAGGATCGTATGTTTCTGAGTAATGGATGGTAAGTATGTCCTAACATTCGTATAAATTCCATAAAATTTGTATGAATTCTTTGGCACTGTAGATAGGCATGGTTCTGGATACACTAACCACAGTGTGTACCCTTCCTGTGTCCCTGCAGCCCCAGCGCCTTCCCGTGCAGAATGTTGGCGTCCCGCCGGCGCGACACCCGATGCCGACTGTGCCGCCTTATCGCCAGCCCTTCCACAGCGTGCCACCGCCCACAAGCCTGATGCAGGCGCCCAGGCCGGCTGGGCCAGCCGTCATGTCCAGGCCAGCACCTCCACCTTTGCTGCACAACAACGCTCCTCAGGTATGTTACTCAGTAAGAGTTCAAACTTTTGATCCAACACAAAAAGTTCTCTCACCTAGAGCTTTCCACCAGTCACTCTGGTCTTCCTCATGTAACATAATTCCTTATTCTAAACCTAACCCTACCACCCGGTCCCTAACCCTAACCCTAACCCTAACCCTACCAGCCGGTCTGCACCACCACCTCTGCTGTACAACAATGCTCGTCAGGTATGTAAATTATGAATGCTTAGGTAGTAGGGAGTCCTTGTGCTCCAGGCAGTAAGGTACAAACTCCCAGGAAACTTTGATCCACTGCAAAGGTCATAGGTTATCCAGGCACACTGCAACAGATTTTTACATTTTGGCCTGGCCACTTTCATACATGTAGTACGGTCACCATCCATCCTCCTGCCTAACGTACGTCCTTCCTCTTCACCAATCCAGGTCCAGTTTCTTGTCCTGTGTGTAAATGTATGCTGGGCCCCATTGGAAAGCAGCTTCTACTAGCTGAATGAGCTACCCCATCCTCCCATGGCAGGGGCAGCGGCTCCGAATTCCTTCTCCACCCCTACCCCTGCCGAATAACCCTGCATCTTCTACTCTGCGAGCCCAGGAATATTAATATTCATGAGCTTTCCTTATTTGGCATGACCCCATTTCTGACTTGGCCGCCGGCGACTCCGCCGCCGCCCGGTGATGAGCCCGTTGGGGAGGCCGTGCGGGGCAAAGTCACCGAGCCGCCCCCTCTTTTCTCCGCGCCGGCACCTTCCCCGTGCTCGGCGGGATCCGCGCGCAGCCTCCAGCACACGCTAGCGGCCTGCATCGCAAAATTCTCTTCCCAAGACGACGCCATGTTTGTTTTTATTTGTCACTGAACAGCCGATGTAAGAGCCGACATGATTGGTTCCGATAGCTAGCGTAGCTCATAAATATTTAATGTAGAGTGCGTTGAAGATTTTCTCTGTGATACGTGATTGGCTGAGAGCGTGTCCCTGGAATCGGGTCGCAGAGTAGAAGATGCGGGTTATTCGGCAGGGGTAAGGGGTGGAGAAGGAATTCGGAGCCGCTGCCCCTGCCATGGGAGGATGGAGCTACCCATCCGTTTTATAATTAAATGAATAAATTTAAAAAATATCCTTCCTCTCCACCCATACAGGTCCAACAGATGAGGCCGCCTATGCAACCTGCCTTCCCACCGAGGCCGCCCCTCTTCAACAGCAGCCCCAACACCCCACCCCCCAAGTCAGCACCCTGCCCCCCTCCCCCAGCCTCCCCACCCCCCCAGCACGTACCCCCCAACGTTGTGGGCCTCCCCCTCCCCCACCGGACCACCCTGCACATCGCAAGGGCCGGAAACGGAATCGTGCTGTCGTGGAACGTCACGGAGCCGCCAAACCCGCGCTCCCCCGCGGTGGACTGCTACCAGCTCTTCGCATACCAGGTATGAACCACTTGATTAATTACTAATTGTACAATGCAGTGGTAGAAATCCTTTTTTTTTTTCAGTGTTCTACAATATTTCAGAATGTGAAAATTTTCTTGTGTAATTCTGGAATAATTTCTGCAAACACACGCATATAAGTGTGGACCTACATGTATAGTATACCCATGGCATATACACAATTATTGTATGTTGGCAAATATTTGACATGTAATTGGAAAAATACATGCTAGATTACTATAGAGTCAGAAAACACAAAAGCTCTTAATATTATACCGACATAATTGAACACCTAGCTTGATTTTTTTAAAATCTGCAAACATGGCAGGTTGCTCAATTTTTCTTCTGCAATATTCTAACTTTATGCATGAATAAATCAGGAAGGGACCGGGCAGCCGAACACAGCCTTATGGAAGAAGATCGGAGACGTGAAGGCCCTGCCGCTGCCCATGGCCTGTACGCTAACCCAGTTCCTCCCAGGGAGCACCTACCACTTTGCCGTGAGGGCCATGGATGTCTACGGGCGGGTCGGACCTTTCAGCGCACCTTGTAGCATCGAATTGTCGTCGGCGTAGTTCTGTATAGTGCTGAGTACCGGTTCCAATTTTGGGTGCACCAAGGTGCACATGCACTCAGTATTTCCAGCCCTGTCTGAAGTTGAAGTGTGCGTTGTACCAGTTCGCTGGAAATGCAGACTGCAGATGGGTACAGTTTTTCAAACACTGACACTTCTTCAGTTGGTTAAGTGTGAGGTACGCCAAAAAACAGGTACTCAGGCAACTGGATATAACTTTGGTAATGGTCAAATGTTTTAGGTAGCATCCACTACCTTTCGTTAGTGACACTGGAGAGCTGTCAGAAAAGGACGCAATGTTGATTGACAACTCTCCAGTGTCACTGATGAAAGGTAGTTGATGCTACCTAAAACGTCTGACCGTTTCCAAAATCATATCCAGTTGCTTGAGTAACTGTTTTTGGGGGTATATTATTACCTGGATGTCTAACCTTCTGTCTAACCTTCACTGGCACAAAGTGTGATACCTTGAACAGACATTTTGTGTGCTGTACAATTTGTTCCAGTTCTTCAAGTTATCAGAACTTGTTATTATAATATTATTAGCTGAAGAATGTGGGTATTTCCCAAATATCGTTATTATTAATAGTAAAGTTTTGTATTTGTCAGAGATGTTGGAAATAGCACTGGAAAAGAGCAAGCTTTCTTATAGACTATAAAGACTTATAGTCTATAGTCTTATAGTCTTTATAGACTTTTCAAATGCAATCCTTTGACAAGGAAAGCTACTCTTACTAGTGTAAAACTCGACTTGGACGAAGCCAGTATATTTATATTGTCTTTTAAACTTCTGTTGAGGTCTGTGGATGAACCAGTAAGCTATAATAATGTACAAAGATATTTTTACACGTAAATAAGGGAACAATGATGATCCGACCAAAAAGTGCTCATAAGTGGCCTTGTATAAATTACGGTCAACAGGGAACTTTTTTTATGTATTTCAAACTCATATCTTGAAAGTTCATCTGTGTTGGTAGAAATCATTATGAACCAAGTTTAAGCTGTAATATCCAACACAACAAGTTGGACTCACCCAAATTTTCGACTGTACAACTCCAGTCTTTGTCGAGGAATGAGAAATCCACCGCTTCCGTGACGTCACGCAGATAACACACGTGACTCCGTGAGCAGTGGGTCATAAGTTGCAGAAAGTCTGTGGCGCCCCCCGTCTCTGTTGACATCATGGAAGCGGTGGATTGCTCATTCCCTGACAACACTAGAGTTGTACAGTCAAAAATTTGGCTGAGTCCAATTTGTTGTTTTGTTGGAAATTACAGTTTAAACTTGCTTCATAATATTTCAAACTCCATTATATGGTACTAAGAGTGTCTGTTTTTTACTGTAACATGTCAGGTGTCAACTATTGATTCAATGCAAGATTATAGGGCATTTAGAGCGCTCAGGAAGCTTTGAAATGCACACCTATGACAGAGCATGACCATTTGACTGAAGTCCATTGGCAGCTGACAGGGCTCGAAATTCATTTTTGGGAATATGTGCACTGGTGCACCCAACCTAAAAAGTTAGGTGCACAAAAAACAACATAAAAGAAAACCTAATTACAGATCTTACTGCTCCTCTTCTGAGCTTGAATCTGAAATGGGAGCTAACTTCAAAATCTTAAGCAAGTACTACAACAAGGATTTTATTATTGTACAAAAATACCTACAAAGTATTTGGGTGCACCCACAGAAAAAAACGGGGTGCACAGCTCCAATTTTGGGTGCACTAAGGTGCACATGCACCCAGTATTTCCAGCCCTGCAGCTCCATCTAAAAGTATTATCTAAGGTTTTGACAACAAGCAACAATAAGAAACAACAGGACCAGCAACACTACAAAATGGTTTCTCTGCTACCAACGAACAAATTTACACTCATATCAGAAACATAATGCTTTACAGATGACTTGTACCTCAGTACCGTACACACCTTTGTTTGCTATCAACAAAACGCGTAGCACATGTACATGATGGTGTGAAGAAACATTCAACTATATTCCATATCTTCTGGTATCAGAAAGGTAAATGCCCGTTTTTATACTTAAAATGAGAAATCTGAGGCTAGTTTATGATGGTAAGAAAATAATTGTAAATAGTAATGAAATTCGTTCCCACAACTCTGTATAAGCGTTGTCCTCATGCCGTATTTATTTCAAACATTTTTTGTTAGGTTCTTCCGATCCAGTTGTGTGATACTATAGGTAGAAGTAACCCTAATTGTTTATAAGTTGTGCTGTTTTAAATCTTACGTAAATCTGCCTGAAGCTACATGTATACTGTAGATTGTATATGGCATTGGTGGTCTTAAGTACATTACCTACGTTTATTAATGTTTACTTGATGGTCAAAAATCTTCATATCTGACACTTGCTAATTTTTCTTACAATAGTCCATCCCTTCGTTTGACTCAACTTTCAGGGGTAGCATTCCTAAACAGATATTGCAAATTATTTAGTCTCTCATTAACTGAACATTAACGTTAAATCAGTAAATGATACACCCATTGAGTAAAAAAAATCTACCCTTAGAACCACCACCACCAATGAAGAAAGGTGTTGTATTTCTGAAGTGTTTCTGATCAAAAGAACTACAGCTATACATGTATCTTCAGACAGAGTGAAGAGTTTTGTTTTTAATCCAACTGGACGTGTTAGAACAAGAACGTCGGCAGAACGTACTGCGGAATTTGCAACGTAACGTGCAGCATCTATAGGACTTGCACAGAACGTATCGTTTAAGGTTGTGCTTGCAAATTTAGAGATGACATCCTGTCTGTAGCTTTGAAATTTTGTGTTGGAAATGATTCTGATGCAACCAAGGAGCAGTACGTTCTGCTGACATGTTAGCAGCCAGTAAACCGCTTTAATAGGAAACATGTTGGGTCTACTTTGTCCCTTAGACGATTTTTTTTTGCTCTAGCGTTTAAGATTCAATGGAAAATCGCATTTATACGTTTGTTGACATCGAATGATGCTGTTAACGTTGAGATTGAATTTCTAGATAAGTGAAAACTATGTTTTATAGATGTTCCATATTCAATATGATATCTTTTGTACCATGAATAAAAATGTTTATTTGAATTGTTTTGGTGGGCGCACTTTCATTATCATCATATTGTAACGTATCTAAATAAAGCCATGGTATCATCTGATTTATTATATTCTATGAAACGACAATAGTCAAGATGTGTCCGATGGTTTATCAAATCTTTATTCTCTATGTCAATTAGTACATATAAATGGACATCTATGCTATAATTGACATGAAAGACATGAGCGAGCAATACAACAATACAATCCTTCATTTGCAGACTACTGTACGATGTACATCTGTACAGAATGGTGGACGGTAATCTGTAATTATATTAAGACGAGGGAAACGCAGACACTGGCAGTTTCCAATAAGCGCATTGTAGAGCGTTGACGATTTTAATAGTAGTTGTTTACTTGTTCAATAGTTCTTATCAGCAAAAAGGACATACATGCCTCCTGGCTAAGAAAGGATGGATGTTGAGGCTATTTACAGTCTAGGAAATGATTTCTATTAACAGTGTATCTGATTCATCATTTAGTGCGCGACAGTACTCATTCTAAAAACTCATACTAGTACTCATTCTAAAAACTCTTGCATCCGTAATCTCCAAAAACCAACAATTATTCACATGTTGGAAAGCACGTATTGGAGCGGTAACAAAGATTTTTGTTCCCTATAAGTTCACTCTATGCGACTTTATCTTTGTGGCATCAACAGCTGTTCTATTGCAAACATTCGTGCGATGTTTTATGATTGCCAGTCTAACGTTATAACGGTATAGCGTTAAAACAGTGCATCATTTAGGTAGCCGTTCCGATTACAAAGTGCTGTTTAAAAGCTGGACGAGATATAGGCGCGGTCACATTTCCCAACCCGGGGCCCGGCCAGACAGTCGTATGGAACGAAAATCGTGATATAAGACAGCAAAACACAAAAAAAGTTTAGAAAATTTAGAAAAGTAACCATGAGCACTATTTGTGTATACTCTTAATACAAATTATTATTATTTTTTTTTGTTCACGCCAACAACCGGCTGTGCCCCGGCTTGGAAATGTGACCGTGCCATAAGGCAGTAAGCTTTATAGAGCATTGACGATTCTACTTAGGAAGAACTTCCTCCCCCTCGGCGTCCTCCTCCCGTACGAGCGGGATGAAGAACCCGTCATCCCCCGCGGCCGTCTCCGCACAGCACTCCGCCAATTCATCCACCTATAGCACAGGAACATGTTGGGCTTAGTTTAGTTTAATTTATTGTTTATTTAACCAGAGAAACATATCACCCTGGAGGGCGGTTTTCAATGCACCCTGGGGGGGCAAAACCCCAAACACAATGAAATAATACAACATAAAGTAATCACTGAAGAAAACTTCAATCAAGGGGCAAATTAAAATAAGGTTACTTAAGCACGAACTTAAGTAACAGAAGAATAAGCGGTCCAAAATAGGCATACATCAAATAATATCAAATCAATCAAACAGAAATCAAAATAAATAATAAGCGAAATAAGGAAAATTTGCATATTAATGTACAATTGGCAGGCAGTCTTGTTTGTATATTTGTTACGTAAACGTAAAAGTGTACTGGCCGATTTCAGGTGAGATGGTAAGTTGTTCCAAAGAATCACGCCAGAGTATGAGAAAGCTCGCTTTCTGTACTCCAGGGCTAACTTGTATCATGCAATATCATGAAATATCATCACAAGTTCATCATCAAGACAACCTTTTTGCAAAGTAGTTTGAAGTGAATGTAAATAGTAGTTATAATGTTTGTATTTTACAATGTATGTAAGAGGACTCCAGGACGAGTAGTGGTTGTACTGTCACTAATTCGAGGTTTCTTAAATAAACAAACAAACAAACAAACCTCGGCCTCCAGCTCCTCAATCTCCGCCTTCTGGCTGTCCAAGGCGTCTTTAAGGTCCTCCGTGTCGTTCTTCAGCGTCTTCAGTTCGTCGGCGAGGTCCGAGACGTCGTATTTGCACATCTCAACCTCCTGTTGGAGCGAATCTGCAAGGCGAGGAGGTATGGGTGGTATTACACAATCATTGGCATCTTATTATTGGGGCCTATTATGCCCAGAACTGTGCCTATCTAGTTCTGTGGCTGTATGTATCTGTATCTGTATCTGTATAGCCGGTATAACCGCCTTTCGGCGTAACACACCAGCTTCGCAGGCACGCAGCGCGGCGGCAGCTGGCTATATTACACCGATCGACTTGTTACACCTAACCCTTGAACTTCTAGCTCTAGACATTGTTTAAAGCCATCTATTGACAATGCCCCTGCTGTACTTGGTGACAGCGAGTTCCACTCTGCGATAGTTCTAGGAAAGAATGAATTCTTGAACACCTCAATCCTAGGTTGATAACTCTGGTACTTGAATGCGTGGCTATTTCTTGTTCTCTTCTGGGCTGGTATTACGGGTACTTAGTAGTTGGGACATCCACCAGTTTGGATTAGGGTTAGGATCAGGCACCGTTCTGGATACACGTGGACTATCCAGAACCGCCCCGATCTAGTTGTATGCCTGGATGGGTTAGGATTACGATCAGGCAAAGTTCTGGATGGTCTTGAACGTGCCCCGGGCACGGTTCTGGATAGCGCACGGTTCTGGATACGCGTGGGCTACCCAGAACTGTGCCTATCTAGTTGTATGCCTGAATAGGTTAGGGTTGGGATCAGGCACGGTTCTGGATAGTCTCCGCGTATCCAAGAACGTAGATTTGCTAAAGGCACGATTCTGGATACCCGTGAATTATCCGTGCCTGAACATGCATAAATCGTAGTTCAGTATACAACGGGAGGTATGCTAGCCTGGTATCCAGTCTGATTCGTGGTCGGGGCCGCAAGAGCTCTGTCCCGCCCGCCTCACATAAGCTTCCCGGTGTGTATTTCACGAGAGATTGATTAGCCCTCCACGAACCAAATCCCCGAGCATACTGCGTCTCTGATTAGCGTAACACTCCTACCGGGACGGTCTGTTGCACTGGGCGGGGGAAGCTCTTAGAGCCCCCGAAGACACAACCTGCCTAAACACCCCAATACCCCCAATCACGATCAGACTGGATACCAGGCTAGAGGTATGCGTGGTCAGTGGGTGATATTGCTTGGGGCTTACTCAGGTTAAATTGAGATCATGATGAAAGAAAAACTTACCTATTTGCTCCTCCAGGTTGTCTGTGGTGTTTGCTTGTGCGTTTATCTTGTCTTTTAGAACCTTGTTGTCGTCCTGCAACGCCTTAATCTCTTCTTGTTGCTTTTTAATCCTGTTGGAAGGAAACATTACTTGAAGCAGGCTATAGTATACATCTAACAGTTACCAGTGACATAACGCTTAACGTGCGCAAAGAAAGAAAAGAAAGAAAGAATGAAAAAAATGAAAGAAAAGAAGAAAAGAAAGAAAGAAAAAGAAAGAAAGAAAGAAAGAAAGAAAGAAAGAAAAAGAAAGAAAGAAAGAAAGAAAGAAAGAAAGAAAGAAAGAAAGAAAGAAAAAGAAAAGTTGGAAAGCCATGGCTGCATGTCGACGATCGGGAGAAGGCTGTAACTTAACCTCAAGAAGACGGTAACTTCATGTAGAGTGCATGCTATCTGTGTCCTCAAAAGAAAGAAAGACTTACAACTCTTCCAGCTTGTCCAGGCGCTCGCTGTCCTGCTCACCGGACTCCTCAGACGAACTGTCCCGGCTGCTTTCCTCGCTGCTCCCCCGAGAGTTCTCCCGTGAGTTTTCCCGTGAGTGTTCCCTGCTCCTGTGGCGGTGTTTCCGCTTCTTGCCCTCCGTGAGGTCTGCCGTCAGGAGCAGCGTCACCGCCACCAGCACCAGCGTCGTACGGAGGAAAGCCATGGCTGCGGACGGGTGAATGAATGAGTTTATTCGGGTTAAAATCTAATCTCCAAGCAGAGGTTTGGGATTGGGCTTATTTTAGGCGTTTTTAAGGCTTTTTTTTAAATCTTCCTCCTCCCCTCCGTCAGGCCTGCCGTCAGGAGCAGCGCCACCGCCACCAGCACCAGCGTCGTACGGAGGAAAGCCATGGCTGTGAATGGGCGGTATGGGAGTTCACGACATAAAAAAAGATACCAGTGCAAAAAAGAAAGCATATGGGGTCGTGTGGCGTAGCAGCAGAGTGCTCGACTCGGAACCAAGAGGTCCCGGGTTCGAATCCTGCCATGCCACCGATCTTGTGCCCTTTGGAAAGGCACTTTACACGACTTTCCCCACTTGATTATAACTCAAGTAAAACTTTGTCCTAGCTGTATTTGTACTCTGTGTTGGGGGCGGCATAAAATAAATTGATATAACTTGAGTTTGGTCATGAAATGTTGGAATATATAAAAAAAAAGAAAGCCATATCATGAAAAAGCCTAACAACGCCAAAAATAAGCCAAAACCCAAACCACTGCCTGACGAAAAAAAAAAAGAGATACCAGTGCATAAAAGAAAGCCCGATAAAAAAGCCTAGCAACACTTTGAACACGCCAAAAATATAAGCCAAAACCCAAACCTCCGCTTGTAGAGTACTGCTCGGGAGAAAGGCTGTAACTTCAGGAACACCCCAACAAGACTGTAAGAAGTGCATGGCGTCTGTGTCCCTTTATATACAGTTCTGTACTCCTCGGTACGCCCACTCGGGACTTCCCCAGGATTCCCCGAGAAAGCCAGGAAGTGGTGACGACGTTGTTTTGTCAGAGAAAGGTCGTACAAGGCCCAAACACGTAGAGCCTCGGGCAGTTACTGTGAACTTCAGGTAGGGTGAACTTGGGGGATGGTACAGGTTACAAAGGGGTTGTTGTTTAAATATAAACTTTAGATCCAACACAAAAATTCTCTCACCTAGAGCTTTCGACCAGTCACTCTGGTCTTCCTCAGTAGACTGACCCAGTGAGACATAATGTCACGTGGCTTCTTTGAAGTGTGACGTCAACACTGGGTCAAAGGTATCTGGTAGACTTTAAACATGTTCCTACCAACACAGATGAACTTTCATGATAGTAAAAGAACTTGAAGATTTGAAGACTTTTGGATCGTCCCTGAAGTCGGATACTGAACTTGAACCCTGCGTACTTGTGATTATTTCCAGCTGGGCACAGCGAAGCAGTTAACTACTTCTGACACCGGCTCGTCCAAGAAACCGGGACTCGGGGTTCTTCAGAAATACCCGTGCAGTGACACCTGGGGTTCTAAACTGCTGATTGTCCGAAAGGATGCGTATTCCCCCCCCCCGTACCCCCCGTGCGTTCGTATAGTCTTTGTTTGAAGCTTAAGGTTCTAGCTTACTTTCCAACAGCAGCTGCGTACTTGCTATGAAACATGTAGCCTTTACAAGGCTTCAGATGCAGCTAGAAAGAGAAGAAACTGGCCAAATAGAAAGATAACATGCCAGGGGAGCTGTCCTAGCCTGGGTACCATCCTGGTTAGTTTACGTTCGCTCCCACAGTCGCTCCCACCAACCACGGACCAGACCAACTCCCCTGGTATGTTATCTGTAAAGTTTAGCCAATTTCTACTCTTCAGTCCAGTCGCCTTTGAAGCCTGGTAGAGGCTAGAAAGCGCGTAAAGCTTAGTTACATGTACTGCATAACAATATAAATATATTACAGTGGTTATTAAGTTTGATGTTGATAGAGCTATGATCTTCTAACAGTACATCGAGCCTTTAATATCCGTGTCAAGATAAATACAAACAGACAACGTACAGGTTCCTATTATTACCATATGGCGTGACTCACCTTGTTATCATCGTTCCTGCCCGCTCATTTAAGTTTGTTATTATCATTTAACTTGAGGCTCCTCAGAAGTTGGGAGGAAACGTGTGTGTGTGTGTGTATGCAGGGTGGGGGTTGGGTGGAAATCGAACAAAGATGGACAGACGGGAAAACTTTAAAACGCCAGGGGGGCATATGGACGCCCACAGAACCTCTAAAACTAATCTGTCTAACTGTGTGCCAAAAGCACATGACGGATTTGGTGCACGTTTGCTACTGAGAGCCGTTAAACTTTTTCCTGGCCCCTCTTGGTCTAAGTTCAAATTCACCCGAGTGGGGACTTTACTACTACTGGACTCTGAACCCTGCACCGTGTAGCGATACTACAAAAACACGCCGCAATTAACGAACAATAGCGCTGCTTCTATAGCTGCCATTGTCTCGACAATTTTCAAAGTAACGACTTATAACGTTAAACACGGACATTACGCCTTTAAAAAAGTATACATGTAACAGTTGGGCCACCAAGCAAAGTTGAGGCATCATCACTAGGAAGCTTTAAACAACTCCTGCAATTAAATGTGCAAAGATTGAGTGTAACAAGGCGTTCGGTGTGATATAGGTAGCTGCCGCCGCGCCGCGTGCCTGTGAAGCTGGTGTGTTACGCCGAGGCGAGGTTATACCGGCTATACAGATACAGAAGCTGGTGTGTTACGCCGAAGGGCGGTTATACCGGCTATACAGATACAGAAGCTGGTGTGTTACGCCGAAGGGCGGTTATACCGGCTATACAGATACAGAAGCTGGTGTGTTACGCCGAAGGGCGGTTATACCGGCTATACTGATACAGATACAGAACAGTTAGCACCTAAAGTTTGCCACACTAATCCTTAAGTAAATACGCCACGGAGCATTGCAGTAAAAAGCAAACACGGACTGCAGTTACATAGAATAACAGCGGCCTTGGCGACGAAAAACACCGTTACTTTACCCGGGTCAGCCGGGTCAGGGTTTTTGAAAACAGGGAGGGCTAAACACAAATGTGACTGCCTTTAGAGGGTAGATTGCGGTTACTCCATGCTCTGGATCGCGTATACAAACGCGCTGTCGTCTATTTGCTTTGCAAACCCCTCTGTTAAGTTTACTAAACACTCCAGAAAGAATGGACCTACATAAGTCAATGAATAATGATACAGTTAAAGAAAATTCCCGATTTAGACTCCCGGTGGTCCGTTTGCAAAACGTTACTAGGGAGTCGCGGTGCGTTAACTTTGTTAGCTTTCTCCCAAAACTAACGATTAGTTAATGTACACCTTTCAAAGGGGCCATTCTTCCGCTGTTCTCTCGAGCGGATTTGTAACCAAGGAGCGACGGGCGTTTTAAAAAAGTTGTTGTGAGGCCACCTGTACTATTCTCAGGGCCCGAGCGGAAGGAAAAAAAACACAACATGGCAGCGACAACCTCCGAATCGGAGGCTGAAATATTCGTGCCGTCGCACCGGAACGACATGGGAACAGAATACGGTGAGTGTGTGTGAATGTGAATGATATCTTTTCACGTGTTCTAGCTTCTATAGACTAGAACTGACCCTTAGCACACCGTGCGATAACTTTACAGTTCGCCCGAATCGGATCTGTTTCTCCGACACAGGTGGGTTCTCTCACTCAACCGCCGTGTATTCTGTGACAGCTAGCAACAACGTATCCCCTTAGTATGTTTTCCTACCTACGATTAGCAAGTAGGTGTCGCTACAGTAGTCAGAAATCTGTACAGAACGAGTTGTGTGTGTGTCCCTGCCCGACACACTACTGAAAATTAGCCCACAGCCATGTACAGGATGCCCAGGCGAGCTCGACTATTTGGTAAACAGAAGAGGAAAATAAGATTACGGGTGCCGAGTTCAGGTAGGCATTCCTAAGTCCTTTACAACTTAAGTTGATTATTGTTACCTGACAATCTAGTTACAGACTGGAGTAGACCAGACTATAGTGGCTACTGGTGTATAGCACTGTTACCCTATTGCGGTTAAAGCTTGGGTAGGAATGTTGGATATTCTCTGGTTATTAATTAAACCGGTGGTCGCCCTGGCAGTGTTTGGTCAACACTACCTGGCGTTTTGGACACATGTGATAACATTGAACCTCATGTGGACATGAAATATATGAACTTTATTGACACAACAAAAGTACAGCGACTTTCGTAAGGTCTAAAACTACACGTAGACATACAGACAAATACATGGGTACAACGAAATTGACCTACGTACACGATAATAGATGAGTCAACTTATACTACTTGTTCTATTAAAGGTCTAAACACTTTTCTTTGATATATTTACCTACTAATATTTGAACACAGTGAGGGTTATTACCTTCTAGGATGAAATCAAATTTATCTATAGCATGAAATGTAACAAATTGTGTTGAGCAAGCGGAGCTATGGTTGAACATGTAATACTATAGATATAGCTGGAAAACAGACTTCAGCCCCCCCCCCACCCAACCTTCTATATAACAGTTTTCCCTTCGTTGTATCAGCAAGTGTTGTATCTGTAACTGTTGTTATTATGTTGTATGTTGTTGATATTGTATGGTGACTGTGTCTAGTATTGTATTCATATATGTGTGTGAATGAATTAACACCAGAAAGACTAGTGGTGGACCCTTGGGCCCACTGCTAATGGTTATTCTGAATAAGGTCTCAAAGTTTCAAAGCAATGTTGTGGTATGATCTCAGAAATGTTCACAGGCAAAACTCTAGATCATCGTGGATTAAGTCACCATTGGCTACCACAAATAAGCCTTTGTACACGTATTGTACATGCCCCCATATATCCAGAATGAAATTGTTCTACATACTAGTACGTGTGTTAGCACGAAGCTGGTGTGTTATGCCGAAGGGCGGTTATACCGGCTATACAGATACAGATACTTGGTACAAACGTAGATTTTGAGCGAGTGAATCTTGCACTGAACATATATTAACTTCAACATCACTATTTTCAATTTTAAATTGCTAACGTTATCTGTGTTGTAGGTAAGTGTTTTTGGATAGTAGTGACTGTAGCGGATTGCTATCATTCTTACTGAAGGCACAGTTTAATTAATATGACGGTTATGTCCGTATGTTACAGACAAGGATGCCCCAGAACTAGCACCAACTATCGGCAAGGGGGAAACAGAAATCGGCACGACGGGCGCAAGTAAGATGGAACATTTTTGTTTCACCTACATAGTATCCACATTTATGTAATGTCCAACCAAATCCTAGGGTGCAAAAGAGTGGCGTATGGACTCTTTCTCTCTGGCGAATGGATACTGCCTGGCCAATTTAATGCGGTCTTTTGCCATCCTAGGATCTGCTTGGAGATTAACATTTCTCCACCTCTCGTCTCACACTCACGCACAAACGTGTAGTTTTGTTGTAATCATGTCCCTAGGAATCTTTCTTTATCGGCCTGCTTTTAGGCAGTACTAGATAATTAATTATCAAGACTAATATCTACGCCATTGCCTGTAATATTACGAATTAGTTCTATATAATTTACACTAAATACTGCTATTTTATGGTGGATATGATTGGTACAATATGTATGAAATATGAATTACATGATAGTACACAGAAGTACTATATAACTCAAGACTAAACACTACAATATTTTCAAATATTGGTACAATATTCATGAAACGTGGATTATATGATGATATACAGGAATACTTAACTGTACGCTATTTCATATAAGTTATATAATATAATAATTAGTAAACGATCATCATTGTTTATGCTTGTATGATTATAAATCTCATTATTAGACGACAGCTAATTAGCCCACTGTAAGCC